AGACAACCCCGTAACAATATGCGTTTTGTACTGCTGTTACACAGCACAAAACGCATAAAAAACAAATAAATTCGTGCTGGAAAGAAAATGTATAAAAAAAAACTGAGTGAGAAGAGCAAAGTTCTGGAACAAAATTCAGCCAATGGGAAAAAAAATTTAGAAAAAATGACTCAAAACATTAACAGAGCGGAGCAGAAGAGGCGATAACTATTTTTTATCATAACTCAGAGCAATTTTATACATTTTCCGGAATATAATTAAAATTCGTGCCTAAAAAGATACAGTTACCTTTTACTATACTCAGACTGTAGGTGTACAGCGCAATCAAGTATACCGCATCGACTTGCATCCCGATGATCCCAGGCTTCGATCCGGCCATCACTGGTACCGCACACAAACAGCTGATGCTCGTTGTTAAACTCACAACAGGTCAATGATGGTGATGATGTCACAAGCGGCTCCAGAAATTTACCCTCTTCCAAATTTAACCGGTATATTTCGCTACTGGAAGAAGAAATCAGTGTTTTAAGTATGTTTTTCAGCGCGTAAACCAATTCTGACATACAAGCACCTCAAGTTACGCTTCTCAAGTTTCGCATAAAAATGGACACGAAATTACGAATGACGTCTGAAAGCGCGATTTTTTGGGTGGTTACCAACGATTTTTTGGATCACTACCAACGATTTCTCTTTGGTTTTTCGAATTTTTCTGGATTTACAACTATGGCCACTGAGATCTCCAATTCAACACGTGTGGTCCCCGGATGATTACCAGGCGCTCGTGCCCTCATACGAACGGTCAGCTGCAGCTGTAATTTTCTGGGATGACCTGACGTGACCTTCTGGGTCACTAGTTGAAAGGACGGTTTTATAAAACACAAAGGTGTTTTTTAGAAACCATTCAGAATATACTAAGCATTCGCGATTTAGCACCTTCAGTCTTCGGTCTGTTGAGAAAAAAGATGATAAAAATATGCAAAGTTGACTAAGGCAATCGTACTCACACAAAATAATGAAGGATTGAATCGGACTACAAGAGATGTAAGCTACAGAAAACAGCGATAAATAGAAGGAAAATTCAAAAATAACACACATACCCACTGGTCACAATGTAGAGGTCGCTAACCTCACGGCAGAAGGACATGTCACGACCAAATTTCGGGATTCTCATCCGAAAATACCGGCCATATGCTGCATGCATCTCAAGATATCGTTCTTCCTCCAGTAGTAGAACCTACCGGTAATTCAAAATCATCTGGTTTCATCCATACGCAAAATAATCTTCCCCGTGTTTTTATGAATTCTGCTAGATCAATAAGGAGTGGAAACTTTTCAATGACAAAAATTTCTCCAGTGATATGCCTCCAGAAAAGATGCGAGCATTCAATGATGGCACATTACTATTAACAGCAAGTAGAATCTGCTGGTAAAGCTGCCAATGTCAAGCTTTTCTCCGATGAATGCTTAAAAGCAAGTAAATGGCAATTTTAACTTGCTAAGGGATGAAACACAGACAGACTGCATCGAAAAATATCACCCTACTACATCTGAGGGAAAAAGGCAGTTTGCACCATAAAATATCACTTTACACATGACGCCTGCGTACAGTCCTGTTGGTCCACTATTTCCTAATATGCACTAGTATCAATTTACCATCGAAAAGAATGCAAGAATCACAGAGCGACAATTAGCGAAATTAAACCATCGAAATATGGCTTGTGTGCGTGGCCCCACTACACCAAATCTACAGATCGCAAGTCACAATAAAGGGTAACATGAGAAACAGAGACCCAAGCAACGAACTCAAGAACCGGATAAACAACACGACGATTTGAAATAAAGCAATTAATCAAATATTTCATTGGAATCTACAATACTCTCGCGCGCCTCCACCCAAAATAACATGTAACTGATATGGAAGTAATTTTTTTAACTTCAAGCAAAACCTCTTTGTCAAAGGAAAAAAAAAAATCAGGGCCTAAGTCCGGGGAAAAAACCTGGAAAACTTACCTTCGAATAGTCTTCACTGAGAACAGTTAGCTTTACAACATCAGCATCCAAGCCTCGCGAAAATTTGAGTGACAAATCGTTCACATCAAAGCACTTGAGAAATGGTTTGTAAGTACCTGAAAGCGAAATTACTAGACCAGCAAGTAAGCAAAAAAATTCAAAATCAGCGAAGACGGGGTTTTTGCCACGTAGCTGAAGAAGCAAGTAAGCAGTATGCGTTTCATCCCTTAGCTGTAAAAATGGATAGAATGGTCAGTGCAGGCAAAAGCAGGAAGTCAAATCGTACCTGACATTATTCTCCGAAAATTTACGTGCTGAGTTTGGTGTTTTTGCTGCTCAACCTAAATCGGGGAACAAAACGTTGCTATGTAAAAGTAAGATAGTAGAGAAACAAAAGCACAAACCCGTAGCGAATATATGGCGCCCATCAGGCGATACTGCCACTGTGTTGCTGACGTCGGGCATATCGAAGTCCTGGATCAACTGGATACGTCTTCGTAGATCTGTAATTTGAATATTTTATGAAGTGTATGAAAAAGGTCACACCTAAAAGGAAAGTAATAATTAAAAGTAAAAATAAAAGCTAAATTGGAATATTTCGGTCCATTAAGTCGCATACATTCCTGATCAGTGCTGCAGCTGGATCTCGTCAGTGTAATGGCTGCAGCAGAAAAAGTTTCAGAAACATACAGTATGGTGAGCTAAACAGAAGAGAGAAAACAGAATTGAAACTATAAATTTAAAATTTGAGGTTAGGATGGGGAAATTTTAAAAAATTTTGAGAAAACTACCTCCGCCATGCCGTTGTTGATACAATAAGAATACCTATAAAATCAGGTCTCCCAAGTGTTATTGCTTATTTCGATGTTTTGGACAACTGCGAAATCACAGTGGTGCTTTTTTTCGGCTCTGTTAAAGCAGCAGTTGACTGATTTTCCATCCAGCTCAGCTTCGAATTCGCCAAAATCGTCCGAATTTGGGGCGCGCCAAGTACAGATTCCGCAGGAGCATCTGGCTTACGCATGCATTCCGGTTGAAAAATATCCCGAAAAATTACAAAAGGAAACTTGTTCTCCACTCATTCTCACACATTTTCTAAGCCAAATGTTCACCGTCATGCGAAAGAAAAATGGGAGAATCAAGGGACGAAAGACGACAATGAGGGACGATCATGGAAGAAGAGGATAAACTAAAAGCAAAGAGTTAAAACATTTCGGTTCATTAAGTTGTGAAAGTCAACAACTCAACGTCGCAAGGCAGACACGAGCGGTTAAAAATCGCAAACTCGATATCTTACATCGCAAATGGATTGAAATTTCGAAACATCTTCCTAACTTTTGTTGCTCTCCAACTCCCTGTCAGATTTAGTTTAAAAAAGCCTTTTAACAAAAAATATTTGCGGATATCTGTAAGAAGATTATGTGGGCAACGAAAAAAAAAAGTGCAAATTTTGATCGCCACTTGTCTGAAGAGGGGCTCAAAATCATCCTAGTACTAAATGGATCAATGCTGATTGATATCCAATGCTATATGAATCCCAAAATTCCAGTATCCTAACTGATTCATAGATGAAATTTCAGCCACCCTTTACTTTCTGTTCTTATAGAATCTAAAAAATTTGCCTATCCCACATCATTCTCTTCTTCTCTTCTAAATTACCTGATATGTCTCCAGTTACATAGCGAAATGGGGCACTGTACTGATGATTCCCATCCCATTTTGCACCATTTTAGTCGTCTGTGTTTACAGTTCAGGGATGAAACACAGA